TTTCATTCGATTATACGGGTCATTTAGAGACTAGCATTCCACACTAGGTTGCCTCTTATTTCCTTCCTTCTATTTGAAGGCTTGAGCAATGTTTAAGAAATCCTATTGTAGCAGTCGGTCGGACCAAAAATATATTAATTACCGTACCCAAATCCGTAGGCATTTTTAGCGGGAGGACACTGTTGAACCCCTAGTTAAACTACTTATTTAGTGCAAAATACCTAGGAGACTAGGGATTCTTTTGTTTTGTATTTCTCCTTCAGAATGCAACAATATATTGGTTTCTGCTGGAGAGTGCATAAATTGTCTCGTGAGGAAAACTCTCCAAAAAGACAAATTTTCCAACATGAAATGTGGAAAATGAACCAACAAATATGAAAAGGCATTCATAATCAATCATATATGAAGTATAAATAATCAGTATAATCAATATCAACAAACGATAAGAAGAGAAATCAATTCAATCACAATGTACGTATTATCATCAAACCAACATAAAAACAATCTTTGAAACCTCTAGGATTCACAAACCTACACAACAAATCAAACTAACCACTCATGTGATAAATACATTAGTTTGGAAGTAAATAGACCTAACTTTCGAAAACAATCAACCTTTTCCCATAATTGTCCTCCTATCCACGTTTTTTTCCGCCATTTTTATGCATGAGATCTTATTCATGCCAATGGCTTGGGCTTTAACTTGTGCTTTTGGTTTGAAGCCCCACTTTGTGGGTTTTGGGTATGAAGGTACTGTCATATTCCTTTTTGCATACCAACAACAACAATAATAAAAAGTTCAATTATTTAAATGATGTTGCATTAGAATCCCAATATTGAGAAATATCAAGTTTAACTACTTGTTGCTATAAATGGTTTGATAACCAAATAAATTTTTTTATCGCTAGGTTGCATTTCAAAGTCATAAAAAAGAAGAAAGCTGCAGTCCCACGTCAAAGAAATTTGTTGTTTGACAGAAGAGTCTCACCTGACTGAGCCATAAGCCCATAAGAAAACAATAGTGTTTATCTCTCGTATAAAACGAGAATTCCTTAAAACGGCCTGTTGGCTTTCAATCAAGCCCAATCTTCTGTTTACTTAAATAAAGGTGAGAAGATAAAAGGAATTTTCAAATGAACAAGTTATATCATACAGTATCGACGGTTCGAACTGAAAAACCTCCTACTGGGGACAAAATTGATAGGCGGTATTTAGCGGTTTAATACGTTGAACCATGATTAAACCACAGTTTTAGCATAAAATGCCCTATTGGTAACTTTTTTGGTACGACCTCTGGTACGGTATTTCAATCCTTGGTTACCACTAGGGCTGGAAGTTTGGTACCTGTATTTGGGATATACCGAATACCGTACCGAATTTGTCTATATTTGGTATTACCGAATACACGTATTATTTTGTGGGATTAGGATTGGGATTAAGTTTCAATTGTTATTCGGTATTAGGGATTATGGGATTGAGATCGGTATATACCGAAATACCGATCAATACCAAATATAAGTTGTGTGTATTTTATCTTCTCAACTAGACTCTCTCATTCACTACTACGCGAACCTCAACCACCAAGAGTGTCATTTAATTATACATAGATCATTACATCATTATTTCACACTAGTATTAGTCGTCTCTCAACCTCAAATTCATCAAATTAAAGATTACCAATTACAAAAACTTGAGATGTTAGCTCTAGGCAACTTAAGACTCTTTGCTTAGTCTCTTTACCCTAAATTAAACAATAAAATCTAATTTAAATATTTAATTATTAATGCCAAAAGTAATTAATTTTGTATTTGATAATACCGATTGGGATACCGAAATATTTAGAGATTGGGATTGGGATACCGAAATTATTTAGGGATTGGAATTGATTTCAGGATATAATTCGGTATTCGAAATTTCGATATTTGATATTGGGATACCGATACCATACCAATTTCCACCCCTAGTTACCACACAGGCAAATCACTGTGTTCACAATTGCTGTCCATCTGCGATAATATACTTACAGGTGTTCGAGATCGTTGAATTGTGCTCAGTACTTTGTAATCCTTTGATAAAAGTGACGATAATTTTATTTATAAATTATCATCTCATCCATTCAATAATTGTGACGTATTCAAACGCGATCCTGTTATCACCGAAAAAATGATCGAGAGTATTTTTTTTATCATAATTGCATGCCATTACAGTATAGCTTCATTACAATACTCAACTGCCCTTCTTTTGATGGATCGATTTAAGCTTTTCTTTACTCTCCCAAAGTGTGTCGCAGTTAATTAGTCCAGATTGGTTTCAACTGCCTATCGCTTTTTCTCTATTTTAATTAGAAACAATTTCGGACGGCTTTTCCTAAATGATATAGACAGTTTTTAATTTTTTATGTCTTCCTATGACTTTGAAATTTTATAGTTAATAATAAATTAATTGCCTACTTCACACATATAGCTGACTTCTAAATTGTATGAGTTCAAAACCAGAAGCAGGCCTACCGTAAAAAAAAAAAAAAAAAAAAACCCACAGAAGCAGGCCTTATCGTCAAATTATGAATTTTAACTGTTAGCATTGGTCTATTATAATGATATATTAAATAAAACTACAACTAATCCATAGATTATCATACGGTATAAATCTAATATTATAAATCATAAATCCTAATTATGCTCCTTTAATTCTGAACTCTAATCAGTAAAGTACACGTAAATATGATTTTTGCACAAGTCTATTCATTTTATTGTTTATTGTATCCAAATTAAAAACCGAAATCATTGTGACACGAATCTCCTACTAAATCATTTTGACATATATTGTACTTTCCATGGTTTGTACAATGTACTTATACACAACCTTAGAATGATCTTAATCATCAAATTTCAATTACTAACATTACTCTAACATGGTGGTGTAGAACTACAATTAATATGTGCATCACCCCACGCTTTAAACCCTAAATAAATTTTAATTAAAAACACTAAAACCTAAAACCTAAACCCGTAAACACAAAATCCTTTGTGATTATTTTGTGAAAATTTATTCATTTTCATGTTCGTCAAATTGTAACTAATAATTCAGATTGATTGTCATAAATCATATAATCAAAATGATGACCACAAAGGAAAATGTGAATTCCGAGAAAACAAAAGCATTTATCGGGACGGGTTAGCATGCTAACCCCTTAAGGGGTTGGTTTTTTGACACCCCCTTTTAATTGGTCAATTTTTCATTAATTATTGACAAGTATTAATGAAAGTAAACATAATAAATGTTCTGTTATTAAATACAAAGTAAGCATTAAATACACCACATTAATTACCATTTTACTGGTATTTGTACCACTGCACTGATACTCAGATATGACATTGCTACCAGTGCAGTGGTATATCTACCAGTACAGTGGTACAACGTATCAGTGCAGTGGTATATCTACAAGTACAGTGGTACACCGTATCAGTGCAGTGATATATTTTTTGGAGGTGGTCGGAGGGAGTCTGCCGATGGGATTTTCACCGGAGAAGTGTGGCGGTCGGAGGAAGTCTGGTGGTCGGAGACTGCTGAAAAAGGAAAAATCAAATATAGTGAGAGAATTCCTAATGAGTATTTAATGTGTGTATTTAATTCCTAATGTGTATTTAATAGTGAGAGAATTCCTAATTAATATGGTACATTTAATTCCTAATGTGTATTTAATGTGTGTACTAATTATTGTGTATTAATTATAGTTGTATTTAATATACTAGGGGGTGTCATTTTTCCAACCCCCAAGGGGGATTAGCATGCTAACCGACCCCGCATTTATACCTATATACTTATTCAGAATTTCAATTGTTAGCATTTGTCTATTATAATTATATTCCATACAACTATAACTAATTCATGCATTATCATACGTTTAAAATCTTAAATTGTAAATCCAAAATCATGGACTTTTAATTCTAAACTCTAGTTATTAAAGTACACGTAAATTCAAAATTATTTTAGCACATGTCCATCCATTTTATTGTTCATTGTATTCATTTTTTTTATGAGGGTTGTTCATTGTATTCATAGTTAGTAAATACGGAACGAGAAAGTTACGTACAAAATGCGTACGGGTATTTACTTTATATCTAAGCTAATGTTACGTTTAATAATAGTCATATATAAAAATTAATTATTTTAAAAATAAATAAACATATAAATAATAGTAAAGGTAACAATTTAATTCATTAAATACGAATATTAAACGTGTTATATGGATTTTATACGTGTTTATTACGGGATCCATCAATTGTATAATCATAAATTGTATAATAAAATTGATACGGGTTCGTCGTATTATATTAATAATCGAGATTTATTATCATAAATTGTATAATAAAAATGATAACAACGAACTCTTGGGAAAAAAAAAATTGATGACAACGAGGGAAAATGTGGGTGCAGAAATAACAAAAGCATATATAACCTATATGCTTATTGTTATCAACTTATCATTATCATTTATCCTTGACTTGTATGAGAGAAAGATCCATTCCTTTGAGTGCTGTGCACTTATTCCTACATCATCAAAGGTTTGTTTGGACTTACCAGCACAACGATAGCTACATTCCCCAACTTTGCATCATCAAAAAAAAAAAATACAAGGATAATGAAAAATAATAAATCTAATTCAACGAAAAAATAAATAAATAACAAATCTAAAGAAAATTCCTTAAGGAGTGTATGGATGCCACGTCATAATCAATTCGATCCACAGCTGCAGAAGCTGAACGGAATAGAAGGCCTCAGCAGAAGCAACACAACGGAACACGACGAAACCAAATCAATGGCATTATGGCAACGGCAACGGCAAAATGAAAGCATCCCTCTTTCCCTTTTTCTTTTTGTTACACAAATGAATTGAAAAATATATTTATCATCTTTGCCTCTTTTTTTTCTTTATAATTATTTAGTCTCACTCTGCCTCTGTAGTCTATATATTCCTCATCCCTTGCTCCTTTTCCAAACCTCCCCATCCCTTCTCTGTCACGGCACACTCTCCCCCCTCACCCTTTTCTTTTCTGGAGCGATAAATCTGTAACAGAAACACGAAGAAAAACGAAAATTTAAGTGGACGGAATCAAAGGTCCCTTAGCCAAAATGATTATATCCCAATAATCCTTCCATATCGGAGACTCTGTTTCAGCTCTAATCCATCCATAACCTAGCTGCTCTCAGCCTTTTTCTCTCGGCTCTCTCTCTTCCTGGTACGTGCCTTCTTCTTTCAAGTCTATAAGGTGCTCTCTTATTGACTGTGCTCGCTCTTCTTTCGTTTATAGCTTCCAAGTTTGTTTCTTTACTGTTCTGTTTAGTTTGGTTGGTTGCCCAGAAAGTGAGAGATTCCAACCAGTCTCCCCTGCTCACGACCTACTCGAATACAACACTTTAGGTATTAGAAACCATGGCAGAGGGGAAGAAAGAAGTGGGACAGAAATGGGAAATCAATCTCTTGAGCTCCAACTTATTATAGGGCAAGAACAGTAGACGATGAAATAAACAGAGGACATCCAAAGATTTTAATAAACAAGGACGGACACATGGGCTTTCTCCATATTTTCTTCCCACCCTACCGAAAATGTTTTGCTGGGTGTTTCTAGATTTCTGATCTTGCCACCAAGGGAAAAAGCGGCAGAGAAGAGAAAAGAACAAATTGCTCTGCTTTGCTCTACCCTACCCAGCTGCCCTTTGCTCAGCAGATGACGGGGAAAAGCTTCAGAATCGTTGTCCGCTTCCCCTTTCTGTTTCTCATCTTATGAAACGGACACAGAGGGAGAGAGAAGAGAAGCTCCACATCCACCTGTCCCGCCATCATCATCATCTCTTTTGTTCATTTCCTATGTTTCGGTGGTTCCCAATGTAAATCCCTTTTTCCTTTGATTTATGAAACCCACCCTCACCTTTCCCTTCCCAATGTTGCCACTCTTTTTTCATAACCCTCCTCCCGCATCAGATCTAACAAAAACAATCCTTTGGGTTTCTGGGTTTTGGGGTTTCACCCAATAAGATAGAAGTTAAATTAGTGAAAAAGAAGAATACGGAAACGTTTCTGATATGCTCTGTTTTGGGCGGGTACAAAGGGAGACATGAAAACATGGTCCGAGCACTCCAAATCTTGCTTCTGCTTCCATGTCTTCCTCCTTCTTCTTCCACTCCAATTTTTAATTGTTTCATTTCCTTTGGATTAGACAACAAACACTCTGTCGATATTTCTCCAAGCTGCCTCTGCGTGCATTAAATTCACTATAATATTCATTGAATAAAAATATAATAACAGCAACAGCTTCACATGACCAAACCAACCAATCTGTGGGTGTAATTAGATAGGGTCATCCCCTCTATTTTTCTGTTGTTGGCCCAATTTCTTACCTACCCAAAATTAAATGATTTTGATCTCAGCGCCACTAATCGGATTCTTGTGTTTCAGATTATGCAGTGGCGATGGACCGGTTATTAATGGAGGAGTTCGTGGCTGGAAACCAGTTTCCTCACCAACATAGCAGCAACGATGCTCATGACAATGATGACAACAGTAGTAGGAACAACGGTATTAATAACAAAGGTCGGAGAAGGAAACAATGGAGATCAATTTCTGGGGAAGTGATGGATTCCGAAGAAGAAGAAGAAGAAGAAGAGGGCAGCAATTCCAACAGTGGGTTCGATTGCAATATCTGTCTAGATTCCGTACAAGATCCCGTCGTCACGCTCTGCGGTCACCTCTACTGCTGGCCCTGCATTTACCGATGGCTTAACTGCCGTGGCGGCGACGACGTTGACGAGGAAGAGTATGACAAGCCGTCGCATCGGCAGTGCCCCGTTTGCAAGTTCGACATTACCGAATCCGCCCTCGTCCCTCTCTTCGGCCGCGGCCAGGCGGGTGATGACGTGTCCTCCGGGCGCACTAGTTCCCCCGCCGGTGGATCGAAATCGGCGGTTGGGGTCGTAATTCCCAGGCGGCCGCTGCCGCAACGGGTCCGCAGCCCTCGCGATCCTTCTCCTCATCGGCCGCCCCCGCCGCCGAGGCTGCGTCGGGGATACTACGAGCAGCGGCCGCCGCCGCCGATGATGGGAGGTGGGGCGGCGGGTCTGAATTTGGATTTTTCGGGTCGGGTGCCGATCCCGGTGGTGGGGATGCTGGGGGAGATCGTTTTCTCCGGCGGGTTCGGGAATGGGATCTACGGATACCAGAACACGGCGGCGCAGGTGGCCGGCGGCGGCAGCCCTCGGGTCCGGAGGCAATTGATGGAAGCGGACAGGTCACTGAGCAGAGTGTGTTTCTTCCTCTTCTGCTGCCTTTTCATGTGTATCCTCTTGTTCTAAATCCAAAAAGAAATTGGCTTTGCGGAAGGGACAAGAGAAGTAAAGTCGAAATATAGTCACCGCCGACCTTGTTGACCCGACCCGCTTTCAATAAAGTCTAGCCGGCGGCTGTTTTAACGGTGACTCCTGGGTGCGACTATGCTATTGATTGTTGTATGTGTAGTCGTGTAGACGTTTGTTCGTGGCTGTAATTAATGTATGCTTAGGGAGGTATTGGTCAACGTATGCTTTGTCTTTGCTTCTCTCATTCAACGTCACAATCTGGTTTTAACCTATGTATATTTCAATCAATATCTATTAAAAAAATTAAGGCAAAATAAACTAGTGTAGCCAAAAGTTTTGACAGTTTGGTAAATAATCATTTCTGTCAAATTTTTTTGATGGTGTGAGTTAACGTGTTGATTGGACTAACGAATCGTCCGAACTGACAATTTTTGTCCCGTACATATACATATTTCTCACGTGGATTTAATTAAAAAAAAACAATAATTAAAATTTAAAATTTTCAAATGGTTTGGTCTTTTGATTTATGAAAAATAAAAACAAATAAATAAATAAATAAAACCTTTTCTAGTCGACAGCTCCAACACCACTAGAGTCGCCGCCGCATCTTTCGATTCCACTCCTCCACTGCCTCCTCCTTCTCCTCCTTCACCTCCGCCTCATCTTTTGCCTTTGAATCCTTGCTCCGAGGACCGCGTACGCAGTAGTCGCCACTGGACAAACCGAGATTTGTAGGAATTTTCCATCTCTTACTGGGGGCGAAGTGGGAAGAAGGAGTTCGGGATTCGGGAATGGCACTGCAAAACATGGAGATTTGGGGATTTTAAGAAAAGAAACGCCGCGGATAGAGGTAAAAGCTCTTGCTAGTCGATTCCAGCCTTGTCTCTAATCTGGACGGTGCGGCAGAAGGGGTGGTAGATGCGACGATGGCGGGTTTGATGCGGCGATGAAGCTGCGCGGTTGCTCTGCTATTTGCATCTAACTCCAAAAATCAAAGGATCATTTTCATCACATTCTCCACCCCTTTGACGATAAGTTCTCAGTGTCAATGCCATCAAAGAATAAGCCAAACAGGAACCACAATCGGAACGCTGAAATGACACATATAATACCTTCTTCATTCTCTCATTACTCCGCTCCCTACAGAACTCCAAATAACGAAGCTAGAGGTCATGACGAGCCAGTAAATCTCAACAATCCTTGGCACTGCGGTGAAGTCAAAGATCGAGAGCTTTTCATCCTCTTGTTATTCTTCTTCTTATCCATGTCCCGAGCCACGGATTTCTTGCGAAGGCGGCGAAGCGTGTTGATCTGGGTCTCGTACTCTATGTAGGTCAAATAGTCCTACTTTAGAGGATTGGGGCGCTTCAATCTGTACTCAAATTTCCACCCTGCTTGACAATCTCATCTATCTCCCGGCGGGTGAATAGTCCTCAACGGTCTAGGTCATCGAGCTCCTCGACCGGAGCTAAGAGGAAGAAAGGGAGAGAGGTGGGAAAACAAGCAGATGGGATAGGGAAGACAAGGAGATGAGTTTCTTTATCTTTTTTTTGTTTTTGTTTGTGAAGATTTAGGTAGAGTTAAAAAAATACTTTTGTAAATGACGTGTCATCCAGCTGTCACTGAATGCTGAGGTGGAAATGATAGAGATGGTGTGTTGGCAGCCACGTAAGCTTTCCGTTAATTTGACTAACAGTTTCATTGACGCCGTTAAATTATGTAATGAAAATGTCTATATTTTTCATCAAACTTTCAAAATTCTGGCTATTATTGGTATTTCCCCGAAAGTGGTTATTATTCTTACGAACTTCAAAGTTTTGGCTACACAGATGAATTTTGCCAAAAATTATTGATGAAAATTGTTCCAATTTCTTTTTTGCATTTGATGAGATGTGGAGCTGCTGACCAAGTAAACATTTTTTTGTCTAACAAAATTAGAATGAGGATTGTGTAGTTCAAAATTCGACATTGTAACTACTGGATTAAATGTGTTTGACATAACAAAATCTTATTTTAGTTTTCCTCATTCACAGTATTTCTTTTGTATAAAAATGTATTTCTCCGCTTTCACAGAATTGTAGTTTTTGGTAGAAAATGAAATCTTTAAAAGGCATCCCAACCTTTATGCATTAATGAAATGGAATGATGAAACCCCATTCTGGTAAAAAAAACAACCAATAACAAAGAGAATTACAGGGTGTAGATAAAATATGTTATCCAGAAGATAGAGCATTGCCTAATGCAGTCTAACCTGCCAGGGTTGCCCCATAAGTCGCCTAATTTTGACAACCGTCGAATAGTGTGGATGACTAAGTTTCGAAGTATTAATAAGGTGTTTGGCTGTAAGTGAGTCAGCTTGTATAAGAGCTTTCCTAACCGCAATTTCCAAAAAATATTGGGACCATGTATAATACCAGCCAACTCTTAACCGGTAATGGAACCCTCCAAGGTTCACAAAATTGTAATTTTTTTTATCTTCAACAAAATTGTAATTTGATCACCTTCCTCCTTGAATTCCAATTTGTAAATGGATATCAATATACTACAATACACTATATTTTAAGATTTTTTTTGGTTTTATACACCTAGTTTAATTAGCTAAAGGCTTCTATAATATATTTTTATGATTTTTTTTCTAAATAATTTTTTTTTCTCGTTAAGAGATCTTACAACACTAACAAAAACAATCATAGTTTGGAGTCATGCGCTCAAGACGAGAAGCTGATATTTATATTTCAATGTGTAGAATCTTTAAATGAAATAAAAATATGATATCCATAAGAGATACTTATACACTCCCAAATTTTAAATTGTTTGTCGTTCCCGGTAATCAGTACAAAGATCTTAATGGATATCAAGAGCCTCAATCAAGTATAAAATTTTCAATGGATAGTTTATCATTAGTGACAACTGAAAAAACATATTTGTTAGGGGGCATAGCTCGGGCACGAGCGAGTCTCCCAAGGTCCGGACGCGCGACCTCGATTCCACTGCCCGCACGAACTAGAGCGCCAGCCTCAAGAGCCCCGCGCAAAGTGGTCAAGACGACGTCGAATAACCTGCCGATACACCGCCAACACACCTGTTGCGCGAGAACGACGATCTCCGCGCAACACACCCGCGTGAAGTAAAGTCCCGCGCAATGTAAAGACCAAGACGATGTCGTAGTCCTGACAAGTTGTCACCTCGCATTCGTAGACCTAATGATAGCCTAGTTATATGTCTTGTCACCTAAAATCCCCACCCACCGAAGGGAGCCTATAAATAGAGCATTTACCCCGGTGGGTGAGGGGATAGATTTCTCTTTCTTTGTCTTAAAATACAAGAAGTTTCTCTCTCTAAGTTTCCCTCCATTCTCTCACCACCTTTAATTCCCGTTAAGTGTTCGAGCGGATCTCGTCCCCACTCACTCGCACCCCAAACCCTATAGTGCCTCCCTCCTACACCCAATTAGGCACAAACAATTGGCACCCACCGTGGGGCCGCGAGTGAAAATAGCAATGACGGGACAAACCTCCAGCAACCCAGATGAAGCGACGCCAGTCAAAGCGATGACCAACCCCTGGTTATTCGCGAAAGCTCACAACTTAGGCACCGTGCTAATAGAAGACGAAGAGCTCAAGCAGGGCAAGACGAAGTGATCGCGGACATGCAGGGCAAGATGAATATGGTCATCTCCCTAATGATGAACAAAGAAATTCACGCGCCTTCACAACCACCTCCCCTCATTGAAAAGTAGCGTGCGACCGAACAATTGGAGCAAAGGGCAGAACCGGCAGCGGGAAGTGACCTCAGCTATCTGGAACAACACTTGTCACCAGGCTACCGGTCTACGCCCAGGATTGCGCTCCACCAATCGCTGAACGCCCAAATCATGGCGGGACACCTCAGCGGAACAACACCCACCCTCCCAACTTACAATGGGACGACCGACCCGGAAGACCATGTCAGCACTTTCTGCCTGCGAATGCAACTCCAAACAAACTGTAATGCAGCACTCTGGCACACCTTCCATTCTACATTCGCTGGCATCTGCCTTGATTAGTCTAACAGACTACCCAACGGGATAATCAACTCCTTCGAGGAATTCACATTCCTCTTCACAATAAAGTTTGCTTCCCAAAAAAGAAGACCACTACACATCAAGGCCTTGATCGACATCAAATAGAAGGAGGGAGAGAGTTTGAGGGCTTTCTACGCCAGATGGTAGAGGGTCTCCATGGCGGTACGAGACCTATCGCCAGAAGCAGCCCCCCACCACATCATGGAAGCTACAATCAGCGCTGAGTTGAGGCGAGCTTTAGCCAAAAAAACCAGTCGCGTCATCAACTGAGCTCGAACTCAAAGTGGAGAAGGCCATTACGCTCGAGGAGACGCTAGGCGTAAGATCAACGCGGCGTCCCGACCAACAAAATCAGCCGAGGGAAGAACAAGGGCGGAGGCAGCTCCCAATACCACTGGATCAGCTCGCGCAACGACACAGCGGAAACAGCCCCCCCCCCCCCCCCCCCCCCCCGCCCAACCAGAACATGTACCTTGACGCTGCTCTCCAGACAGGTGGGCCCAGCAAACCTTCAGGCCGCTCAACGACACGGTGAAAAATGTGTTTCATCTCATCCGTGAGAGAGGCTACCGCCTCAATTGGCCCGCCCCAGTAAAAACCGCGGTCCACATGCGCGACCCCAAGAAGTATTGTGAGTTCCATAGAGAGACGGGGCACATGACGGAGGACTGCTTCAACCTCAAAGTGGAAATCAAAGCGCTACTCAAAAGGGGGTGCTTAACTGAATGCATCAAAGGGAGAGACGAGCAGAAAGAAAGCAGTTACGACCTTCCTCCTTCTCCGCAACAGGAACACGACGAGGCGTACGTTGTGCGAAGAGAAATAGGGGTTGTCACGATAGAAGGGAGTAGACCCTGGAAGAAAACAAAGCCTGACCGTGCGATGGAATGCGCGTCAACAGACCTATTGAAAAAATGCAGTATAAGCTTTAAAGATACAGAATTTCCTCGCGGAATCTCGTCGGAGGACACGCTTACAATCACAGCACTGATTGCGAATTGCAAAATCCACCGCTTGCTTGTCGATGGAGGAAGCGCGGCAGATGTGTTGTTCAAGAGCACCTTGGACAAAATGGGCGTTGATCCGCGCATGGTGAAACAAGTGCAAGGCAACCTAGTGGGCTTCTCGGGCACCCGCGTAGCAGTGATAGGGACGATCACGCTACCAGTGGTGGTGGGTGACGTCGAACCACAGACTTCCCTTGGAGCAAAGAGGCGGAGCCCCATGCGGAACGTAGGACAAACATCATCGACACGAGGCTGGAAGAACCGCGCCCCGAGTTTGTGGATTCTGACTTCGAAATCTCGTTAGATCCAAACCAGCCGACGAACAAAGTGCGCATCTCAACACATGTCCCTCATGACATGATTGAACTGCTGGTCAAACTCCTACAAGAATATAAGGAGTTGTTCGCGTGGTGCACAGAAGACATGCATGGAGTCCCAAAGACTATGGCACAACACAATCTCGCGGTTCCCAACAACGCGGTACCGCAACAGCAAACCCGGCGCACCTTCAAAGGCAACAAGCTAAAATCAATCAAGGAAGAGATATCGCGACTCTTAGCGGCGGGGCTAATCCGAGAAGTTAAGTACCCGAATCGGCTGGCAAACGTGGTCTTCTTCAAAAAAAATTCAGGAGCGTGGCAGATGTGCATCGATTACACCACCATAAATAAGATGTGCCCTGGGGATCTCTATCCCCTCCCGCGAATCGACCAACTGATCGACGCTACATCTTACCAC